TTTAAGCTCATTAACAAGCAGGAGGCACTTTAATTTCACCATACACATCAGAATAATTACTGGTCATTAAGTTGTGTGAAAGAGTGTTTTTTAATAAAAGCAGCAGAAAGAAAAACGACTCAGAGTGACATCTGATACTGCGGTTCTATAGTTATACCTGAGAACATGCTGTTAAACACAAAGCTCAGCGTGTGAAAGCACAGATATTCACTTCAAGGCCGAAACAGAAGTCCACGCCCTTGCTTTCTTCTTGTTATTGATGTTTTGTGCCCCAGTGCTTTACAGGCTCTCTCTTGCTTCCTGTTGCAGCAATACTACTCTCAGCAAACTTTCAAGCAAAGAGAGTAACATACATTCTGTTATTTACCAAATATAGCTCCAGATTCCTGTTTCATTTTGGCTCTGAAAACACAGAGCCTGTCCCCCTAATGTGCAGTTAAGACCAGATATTTAAATACACTTAATGGAAAAATTCATAATCTTTTAATCTGACTGTTTTACCTTAAACATACAAACATTTTCCTGTTTTTATGTCATTAATTATTATTATTATTAGCACTAAAATGATTTTTATTTTTTAAATGCCAGAAAATGTAAGAATAGTTAAACTTTTTTCTTAATTTTAGGTAGAATTACGTTTTAAAATTGACAAATTGTTTTCCTCTTGCATGCTTCATAATAGTCGCTGGAAGTTTAGCCCATCAGTTTGGTGAAACTGGGTCAGTTTGGTGAATTACACACATTTCAGCTCTGCTCACAGATTTATTTATGAGACTGTGATAAGAATTGTGTTGTGCTCTCCTTCAAAAAAATATTGACTTTCTTACCGTAATTCACTTTCTAATTGATTTAATGCTACGGTTCAGGTTTCTTATTAAAAAAAAACATTTGCACCAAAAGCTGCAACTTCTTGGTTAATTTAGTCAGCTTTGTAAAGAAGAACGTTCATGCAAATGTCCCTTCTTAAGATTCTGCTTAAGATTTATTCCCGGAAATGCGGCAGTTCATTCTAACTTTTCATTGAAACTCCAACCTTTTACAGTTGGGATGTACCTCACAAGCTTGAAGGATTCCACCCCTTCCTCCAAACTTACATTTCTAAAACAATTACATTTTTTGTACTAGAGTGCATTTGGAGACTGTAATCTGATTTTTATGTTGTTTTACTATAAAAACTTCTTCATCTGTGTGGCCTTTCAGCCCAGTTTGATAGAGTAAACTCCATTTCATCTCCTTAGACGTCAATAAAACTACACTGCAAAAACGATCTAGAAATAAGTAAAAATTTCTTAAATTAAGTGAATTCACCCTTAATTTGAGCAGGTAAATGAGATAGATTGCCAATGGAATGAGTAATTTTACTCTTAAAATAAGATAATTAGATAATATGCACTTGAAATAAGACAATGCAATTGTGTTTTCTTATTTTAAGTGTAAATTGATCTGTTCCATTGGCAAAATGTCTCTTTTATCTCCTCAATTCAAGAATAAATGCACTTATTTTAAGAAAAAATGACTTATCTAGATTCAGATTTTTTGCAGTGTATTTCTAAGCTTCTGAATCTTCATGCTGTTGTGATATACAGTAAACACTCACAATGATTTTGTAGCTCATATAAAATAAATGTTGGGTTTAGCACTTGAACATCAGCAAGCTAATTGCTGTTAAATACTTTTTTGTACAGCTGGAAATGGGATCAGAGTTTTCTCCTTTTTTGCCATTACAGGATCCTCTCCAGAACTTTGGTTCCTGTTCAAACTCAAAGAAAGCACGATTCTGCTGCCTTGCTCAGTGGTCGCCTTTTTTCACACTCAGTCAGTTCTGGGTTCTTTGGGAGGACCGTGATGGAGCTCAAACTCTACCGACCTCCTCCAGGGGTCCGGGGTATGACCTCTCTGGACAAAGACGCCTTCACACAGACCATTACAGTTCCAGCTGTGCAGGTACCAACTGGGGTTTTGAACAAAGTGATAAAGAGTCTGAAGAAGTCCACCATCCAGCGCCCAGGTGTGCACCGAGTGGTTCAAGAAAAAGAGGAGAACAGCGGCTTTCGGTTAGTCCTTTTGGATCCCAACAAAGTGTCGTCAGCGAGTTCCTTCAGCGAGGCTGAAGCAGAGGCCCTCAGGTCGTTTGGTGTCCCTGAAGAGCTGCAACAATATGAGCTGAAGCTGACCTATGACAACCTGAAGACGGAGGAGGTGCTGGAGGCAGTGCTTCCTCAGGGTCAAGATGTGACCTCAGCATTCAGCCGGGTGGGACACATAGCCCACATGAACCTGAGGGATCATCAGCTGCCATACAAGAACCTGATAGGTAAGAGGCAGAAAGAAGCTGGCGCCTGAACACTAGGGGCTGATCTACATGTGAAGTTAAAACTACGCATGCCACAAACGGCAGACTGCCAAACTGCAAGCATTAGATTTTATTGTGACTTTTTAAATGTTTAACTGCTCAACAATAAGCTAAACAAGAAATCTTTAATGAAAGAAGCCAATTGATTTAATTGATCGCTCAATTTTCATTATCAGTTCTCAGCAACAATAACTGGATAGGAGTAGCTGTTTCTTATAAAATGCTTGTGGCGACCTTTGAGCTGCCTCTGCTGGTTGCTTATGGTTGCACAATTCTTGAATTACCAATGCAGACTGCAATCAATCCTACTGAACAATACTGTTATCTAATATTATTACTATTAATTCATACTAATATTAATCCAAATGGGAAATTTGATCTTGTAGTAACTCATCAGCTTTTTTTTCCCAGCAAGTTGTTATAGATGTTGATAGCTGTAGACAGGAAGGACCTTCTGTAGTGGTCTGTCCTGCACTAGATCTGCAGGTTCCTCATCAGTCATTTGACCGACGACACTTCATTGCTGCTAAACAATCTTCTGAAGACAATGCTTACAGTTGTTCATGATTTTCATCATTTTATAAAGATTTCTTCTTTGTAAAATTAGTCTTCATTAGTTGTAGACTTTCTGGAACAGAACAGGGCCAGCCTTCTGTCAAGGCTTCTTAAATTTGTAATTTTCTCTAATACTGTTACACCAGCAAAGAAGATATGTAGACTCTCACTGCAAACGTTGAAGGACCTAAGCTTCTTTTGCTTCTCTTGTCTGCTTCAAAGTGACAAACTTAATTACTTTTTCCTATCTTGTTGTCATTAAAGTCAACAAGATAGGAAAAAGTACCTGGGTTTGTTGCTTAAAAAAAAAAAAAAAAAAGGTGCTAAAGAAATTTTGAAAGCTGTTTAAATATAAGCGATGAGTTGGCAACAATGCATAACCGGCCTTCTTCATTTTTATACTGCTGGGCCTGTGCTGAAAGCAGCTAGATGATGACATAAAGCTTAAATTTTAGGTCAAACGTTATCTAAAACAAATGAAGCTCAAAAATTTACTCAAACTAAATCCGATTTTCCAGGAATCTCTGACTTCATGTTTACCAGTGGTGTAAAATATGAAAAAAAACCATTTCATTTAGGCTCTATTCAGAACAGAAAAGATAGGAACATGTTATTTAAGGGGGCTGCTCAGTGGTTAGCACTGCTGCCTTGCAGCAAGAAGCTTTACGGGTTCGATTCCCAGTCCGTGGTCTTTCTGTATGGAGTTTGCATATTTTCCCTGTTTATGGATGGGTTCTCTCCGGGTACTCCGGCTTCCTCCCACAGTCTTTAGGTGTAAGTGTGTGCGTGAATGGTTGTTTGTCTCTGTGTTGCCGTGCGATGGACTGGTGACGTGTCCAGGATGTAAAATGGATGGATGGATGTTATTTAAGGTGTCATGAAAATAAAAAGAACAACTTACACTAAACCGGCTTATATCCCCAATCAGAGCAATTTTTAAATGTAACAAAAACCATTCTTAGGTTTGGACAGGTCTGGATTAGAGATGCCTTGAGCAGATACTGATATTGAAAAATGAGTATTGGAATATATCGCCCTGCATCTAAAATCTTTGATATAAGCACAATGATTTAAACACTCCGCTTCTGTTTTCAATTTCAATTTTCAATTGGATCCATGCCTATTTTGTTTTACTATGTTTCTTTGCTTGATTAATATCACATGATCCAGTATTTTCTAACATGCCACACTACAAAATAAGTGTTAAAATATTTACAATTCATATTGATATCATAGCAGATTAATATCTGTATCGGTTAGAACTCAAACCTGCAAAATAAGTATCGTACCAAAAATGAAAAAGTTGTATTGGGATATCCCCATTCTTTATATTTGCAGAATTTGATCTATAACTTTAAGATTCATTCTCTGTCTTTTGTAGGTCAAGTAATTATGGATAAAAACCCTGGAGTAACCTGTGTGGTCAATAAGACCAACACCATCGACTCTACTTACAGGAACTTTAAGATGGAGGTGCTGGCTGGAGAGGAGAACATGGTCGCCAAGGTTTGTGCAGTTATAATGATTCCCACATAGAGCAATCAGTCATTGCAGTCCGAATCTTCTGACAGATGAGGGGATTCGGTGTATTTGTTTTCAAATAATTGTATTTAGTGACCATGTGGAAAAAGTAATAACCCTTTGTTAAATGATGAACTAAAGAAATTCCTGCCAGACAACCTGCAGTAAAATATATAAAACTTTTAAAGCAACACAGTTTCCTGATTAAAAATGAATATATATATATATATATATATATATATATATATATATATATATATTTCAAATGAAGTACGACGGTAAATGAATCATTTGACATTAATCAGTCTGAAGGGGGATTACTCAGTCAGCTCTAAGGCTTTGGGACTCCTGATAACCACTGGGAGAACCGTTATCCTTTAAAGCCTCATCCAGAAGGTCACAAAAAGCAAATATCAAGCCAGATCTTAAACAATGCAGGGCTGGTTTGTCTCAGTTTAAGATAGAGGTCATGATTTAAAAAATAAGAGAGCAGAACTCCATAAAAATGGCCCCCAAGGGAGAGTCTCAAGGCCAAAACCAACTTTGATTCACAAAACATTTTTTAATAATATTCAGAGGACTTACTAAAAATAAAGTACAAATTTCTTAAGATAAATGTATTTGCTCTTAATTTGAGCAAATTAAATAAGTTGATCTATAAATGAAATTAGTATGTTTTGCCTTAAAATCAGATAACTGGATATTATGCACTTGAAATAGGATAATGGAGTTTTTTCTTATATTAAATGTAAATCCACCTATTTAAATAAAAAAATGTCTTATTTACCTGCTTTATAAAATAGAAAAAACAACTAATTTCAAGCAAAGTTGATTTATATTTCATTTTCAGTAAACTATTACAGCAGTTTATAAAAAAATAGAATATTATTTCAATAAGATGATCTTTTTTTTTTAAGCTACTTATGGATCAGAACTATTTGCTTTATTAATAGAAACATGATTCTGCTCTCAGAGAATCTTAATGGAAAAGGTCCAACTATCAGTTCCCTATTTTAAACTATAACTCACTTGGGTTTTGTCACTGGGTAAGGAATGAATGTAGTGGCGTAGTTAGGACCTGGGAATAAGAAATATAAAATAAAACAGCTCTGTACAAAGGGGTTAGATAAAATTCCTTCATAGGAAAATAAATCTGCAGGTTAGAAGAAAACTTTAGATACCTGTTTGTTTAATTGTTCCTGTAGGTGAAGGAAAACGGCGTGGCTTATGAGTTTGACTTTTCTCGTGTCTACTGGAACCCTCGGCTGAGTACAGAGCACCAACGGGTGGTGCAGCTCGTTAAACGTGGCGACACAGTATTCGACGTATTTGCCGGAGTCGGACCCTTTGCCATCCCAGCTGCCCGCTCCGGCGCCAACGTTCTGGCTAACGATCTAAATCCAGAGTCCTACAGATGGCTGCAGCACAACTGCAAACTCAACAAGGTGCAGAGCAAAGTTCAAACTTTCAATCTGGATGGCAGAGACTTCATCCGGGGGCCTTTAAAGCAGGAGCTGCCTGCTCTGCTGAAGGGAGGATCTGCTGTTCACGTGGTCATGAACCTGCCTGCGTTGGCTTTGGAGTTTCTGGACGCTTTCCGGGGGCTTCTAAACCTGCCTCCCGCTGAGCAGAACCTTCCCATAGTGCACTGCTATGGCTTCTCTAAAGATGACAACCCCGAGGCGGACATGGTGGAGAGGGCTTCCCGCAGCATTGGATTCCCCCTGGAGAACAAATGCTCTGTGCATTTTGTACGTAACGTCGCACCCAACAAGGATATGATGTGTGTGAGGTTCACAGTCCCTAAAGAGGTTCTGTTCTGCAGCGATGAAGGAAAAACAGGTGAGAAACTAACCTGGTTAGACCACAGGTATGAATGTTTCCAAGCAAACCTGGAAAAAAACACATTTTAATGAGAACTTTTGTTCCCTTTGTTCACTTAATTCTTTTTATTTTATGTTTCTTTTATAAAAATTTTAAGATATTTATTTATTTTTTTAATAATGCATTAATTAGAGCTTAAAATAAGATCAATGTGGAAAAGTTAAGTAGTTTTCATATCCTTGCCTTGTAATTTATATAATGAGATTTAAACTGTCTGAATTTAAGACAATGAGTCACTGAGGATTTTTGTCTCTTCTACTTCTGACTCTCAGAAAATTAGGAAGTTAAAACTCATTAAAAAGTATTCAAACTGATAACTCAGCTTGTTGCTGGATGTCTGAGAATTTGTATTGTTTGGAGAGCGTCATAAGCGAAAAACGTCTCCTGGATAAGAGTTTAAACGTTTTCACAAAAACCGAGCAAAAGTCCAGTTGCCTCTGATTTAAGCCTGTTATGGGGTCATATTTATACCTCCAAAAAACACATTTGCGCACCATTTACCTTTCTTATGCACTGCAAAAATGATCTAGAAATAAGTAAAAATTTCTTAACTCAAGTGTATTTACCCTTAATTATAGTAGGTTAATGGGATGATGTGCCAATGGAATTATTATTTTACTCTTAAAATAAGATAATTAGATAATATGCACTTGTAATAAGACAATGCAATTGCTTTTTCTTATTTTAAATGTAAATTGTCTTGTTCCATTGGCAAAGAGACTCACTTACTTCCTCAATTCAAGAAAAAATGCACATATTTTAAGAAAAATGACTTTTTTAGATTTCAATTTTTTGCAGTGTGTTATAAAAAAATGGTTCCTTTTTGAATTTTTGCACAAATTAGTTAAAATTATTTTAGTTTTTCTTCCATTTCATGTATTTTTCTAAAGTAAATTTATTTTAAGGATTTTTTTTTCACACTTTAACCAAACTTTGTTTTGTTTTTACAGAACAGTCAGAGGAACCCGCCCCGAAGAGACCAAAGTGTGAAGATTCTCCAGATGTAACATCAGCTTGACTCAGTTTTACATTTTGTTTTAATATTTTTTCCCTCATTTTATGCCCTTAAATAGATTTTTTTTCTTCTTTCAATGGGCTTTACATTAACATATTTGATTTTTAAATAAACCCACATACTTGAAAACATGTTTTTTTTCTTTTTATTAAAAAAACAAACAAAATAGAAAACAAAATCTACATCTGCACAAATTTTCAGCAGGGGCAGGTGAACATTGACAAAACAATGATGGTTAAAGTGATGTTTGTGACGTCCAGTCAGACAGGAGGTGAAGGTTTGGTTGGACTCAGCCTTTCAGAGGGAAAAGCCCACTAAAAGCATCCTGGATGGCTCGATAACACGCCAGAGCTGAGGTGTATCCTCCAGCAGTGTCCTGGGGCATCGCTGTCCTGACATGGTTCAGATACCTGAGAAAACAGAAGGCGATACTTAGTACCAGCAGCAGACGTTTAATGAGAAGTTATTGAGAAAAACTTTTCACTGGCATCTATCTCACTGAAACATTTTCATGGATCTGTAGAGGTCACTAATAACAAATATTGGCAGCTCCATCAAACTCAGCATAGTTACGAAAAACTTACCCTCCTTCTCCAAGAACCTGAAAAGTTCCTTGATCATTCAATATGCCTCCCTAAAACCCCAAAGCGATACTCTTAAATAAAAACATGCCTGAATGTATGAACTGAAGAGCGATTTCAAATCAAGAGCCTTGAACTGGGAAGCAGTTTTAGTTACATCTACCGGTACTATGAAGAATTACATTACAACCTAATCTGCAGGGATTGCCTCTTTTTGACTTTTAGTTTTTATGTTTGATCTGAAACTTTTCTTACAAATTAAATAAATAAATAAAGAGCAGTTTCGAAATGATGTAGTTTTATTATTAAATGAAAGGGAAACAATCCAATTTATTGCAATCGTTCAACCAGATATCCTGTTTAAAGGGCATTTCCTTTCACAGTCATGTGGGTGTGATTTTCATTTTTTTTATCCTTCATAAAATTTAGAAACTGAATTCTGTGTTTAGTTTTGTTATCTTTATCAAACGGTTTAACTTAATGGAACTCTAATGTTAAATTGTGACAATTGTGAAAAAATAGGTTGGAAATCATGAAGGACTCTCGCTTTTCCAAACCAATGTATCGCTAGTTTACAGAAAATGTGAATTTAGC